CTTTTGATCGAATTGGTAGCTGTCGAGTCTCCACGCATATCGACCGCAACCGATTGGGATCTAAGTCCCCATTGATCTTCTCAAAGACCTAATACAACCCTCTAGCAATGGGTATATCGACGCCTACCAAACCCAGGACTCATAACGACTACACTGTGGGATGGATCTGCGCGCTACCCAAGGAGCAGACCGCAGCGAAGGCTATGCTAGACCAAATGCATCCGACTCTTTCCAAGCCACCAAACGACCCGAACACATACACTCTTGGGTCAATCAAAGAGCATAATGTCGTGATAGCCTGCTTGCCGAGAGGCATGTACGGCACTATTTCGGCAGCGACCGTCGCGGCCTGGATGATAAGCACTTTTCCATCTATCAAGGTCGGCCTCATGGTTGGCATCGGTGGCGGTATTCCACCCAAGGTCAGACTCGGCGACGTCGTGATTAGCACACCGGTGGATCAGTATCCTGGAGTGGTCCAGTGGGATATGGGTAAAGCGGAAAAGGATACTCATTTCAAACGAACCGGTGCGCTAAACAAACCTCCAAGCGCACTGCTGACAGCATTGACCACCATGGAGAGTACTCATGAGATGCAGGGATCTAAAATACGTGAGTACCTGGACGATTTGGGAAGGAAATGGCCAAGACTGGTGTCAGAATATACCAACTCCGATTCCCTCAAGGACCCTTTGTTCACACAAGACAATTACCGTCGTGGTCTGAGTATTTGGATGACTGTATTATCAATATACTGGGAGATGATGCTATCTATTCTCGGGTACTTCTTAGGGAGGGAGGCATTGGCTTCCATGGATAGTTGGGCGAAAATGATGAGAATCATAGCAGATTACAAGATTGGTGGGACTCAGAGGGAACCTGGAGATATGCGCGTGCATTACGGCCTAATCGCATCCGGTAATCAAGTGATCAAGGATGCTAAGTTTCGCGATAGTCTCAATGAGAGCCTGGGAGGAAATGTGTTGTGCTTTGAAATGGAGGCTGCAGGGCTGATGAATGACTTCCCTTGTATCGTTATCCGTGGTATCTGCGATTATGCCGATTCACAAAAGAACAAAGATTGGCAGAAATATGCTGCAGCAACCGCTGCAGCATGTGCGAAGGAACTTCTTGAATATGTACAGCCAAGCGATGTTGACGGAGAGCGTCCAGTGAGGGACATATTGAGCCACGGTTAGTTATTCTCGAGACCTTGTATGTATTTTATAGTGAGATTCTAATAACACTGTAGTTCTCGACACTGTCTCTAGAACCGAAGCCAATGTTGAAACTGTGAGGTCCAAGTTAGACAGAAAAGAAGACCTCAAGGTCCTGAATTGGCTCACGCTGACCGACTACGGTTCTCGACAAAGTGATGTTCTCAAAAGGCGAGAAACCGGGACTGGCCAATGGATTTTAGACTCCACTGAATACCAGGATTGGCTTAAGACAGAGAGGCAGACGTTATTCTGTTCTGGCATTCCCGGAGCGGGAAAGACAATCCTCACATCTATTGTTATCCACGACCTCACCGCAAGGTTTTCTAAAAATCCAAACGTCGGTATTGGGTACATCTACTGTAACTTTCAGCGGCAAGACGAGCAGAATGTCGACGATTTGCTGATAAGTCTGCTGAGACAGTTTGCTGAGAGCCAGCCCTCCTTGCCGAAGAGCATCAAAGATCTCTATTCTCTCCATGAAAACGAACGAACACGGCCGTCACTCCAGGAAATATCCAACACTCTTCATTCTGTTGTAGCCAACTACTCAAGAGTATTCATCGTCATCGATGCACTAGATGAATGCCAGACATCTAACGGCTGCCTGGCAAGGTTTCTATCCGCGGTTTTCAAACTTCAGGCCAATATACTTGCAACTTCTAGAATAAACGGCGAGATTGCAAAGATGTTTGGCCAGGCTACAACGCTAGTGATTCGTGCGAGAGATGGCGACGTAGAGGTATATCTGGATGAACGAATGAAGCTTCAACCGTCGGATATTCTAGATGATGCCACTAGAGGCATGATTAAAAGAAAATTAGTTGGAATAGTTGATGGAATGTAAGTCTTATAACGAGCCAAATAGGGTGCTTGAACATAGTAACATGGAAAATCAGGTTTCTACTAGCAGAGCTATCCATAAACTCACTTATAATCCTGCCAACAAAAGGACATATCAAAGAGGCTCTCAAAAATCTTGGTAATGGAATGGAGGGATTAGAAAGAATTTACAACATGGCGATGGAAAGAATCGAAAGCCAGAGAAGAGAGTGTCGAGATCTGGCGAAACAAATCTTGACATGGATTGTTCATGCCAGAAGGCCACTTTTCACTTCAGAACTCCAACATGCCGTTTCAGTCAGGTCGAATATTACAAAACTAGACGAAGACTACCTTCCGACCATCGATCGACTTCGATCTCTCTGCGCTGGGTTGGTCACAATTGATGAAGGCAGTGATATCATACGACTGGTCCACTATACCACCCAAGAGTACTTTGAGCGCATTGGAGGCAGATGGAAACTAGATCCTCAGTTCTATATTGCTTCAACATGCCTTACTTATCTATCATTCGACGTGTTCAAAACAGGTGGCTGCTCATCTGACAAAACGTTTGAGCAGAGACTTAGAGAGAACAAGTTTCTGGACTATGCCGCTAAGTACTGGGGTAAGCATGCTGCAATAGTTGAAGGCGAGGTGTGTGGGCTAGCTTGTTTCTGTCTTTCAGACAGCGAGTTGGTTTCAAGCGCTACGCAGGCATTGCTAGTTCGGAAGATTAATTATAGGAGATACAGCCAGATCTATCCTCAGAAGAGCACAGGATTACATCTTGCCGCACGATTGGGATTATCGCTAGTGTTAGAGACGATGCTCCCAGAACATGAAGGAGAAAGAACAACTGCACTAGAGAAAAGGGACAGTCACAACCAAGATCTATTGTATGTTGCAGCAAGCGCGGGACACGATAAAACAGTGGAGCTGCTGCTCGAAAAGGGCGCCAACCCTAATGCACGGAGTGGAGAGTACGGCAGTGCAATGCATGTGGCTTCAATAAGAGGCCACAAAGCGGTGGTAAAGGCGCTGCTCGACGCGGGCGCCGACCCTAACTTCAAGGGTAATTACTTCTACTATGCACTCCAAGCAGCTTCATATGGAGGTCACAAAGCGATTGTAAAGATGCTACTTGAAAATGGCGCAGAGATCAATGCGCAGGGTCAAGTCTATGGCGACGCACTTACTGCGGCTAAAGCTACACACCACAACGAGGTTGTAGATCTGCTTGTGGAGAAGGGTGCCAAGAGCGTTTTGAAAAAAGAAGAAGAGGATATGAGATACGATCGTTCATATGACAAAAATACGAAAGAGAGGAATACTAGCGATAACAGCCCCGAAACGAAGCCCGGCATATTGTTGATGAGAGATCAAGTTCAAATGGAGGCGCGGCGATGATCAGACGAGGGAGACGGACGGACAATACGGCGAATTTATAGGCATCGGAGCACTACGCTGCGTGTCCTTGTTTCAACTATGGGTTGTTCTACTGCTGTCTCATTGTAACCGTATTTTGGTTGTCGTACCTAATAGGGTTGTGCCTAATAGTCATATACCCGTTGGGAAGTGTACATATCAAGTATTACTAAACGAATTTTTTTTGGGTTCGAGCGAGGGTCTCCTGACGCTCATCTGAATCCTTTCAGTTTGACTGTAAAGTTAATTCTTTTAATACCTGATTCCGTTAGAGTAGGGTGTGACCTGCTATGCGTTTCTGAGACAATGGATCTGATACTGTGCCGGTGCACAGGGTCACGTGTGACCCTTGTGCTGACACTGTGATCTTGCCATCCCAACTATAAGAGCAGCACTTTCGTAGATAGCAGAAGAAGAAGGCAAGAAAAGGAAGTTTTGAAATCCCTTTATCGAACTGTTGCAACTCCCAGTGACAGTACCCCACCTACGACAACACAAGAGATTCGACGCCTAACGCCCCAATTCACCATAGTAGAACTTGTAGCCGTAACACTCTCTACACCCCCTCAATACGCTACATAGAAAACAGAGATAGAAAAAGCCAAGTCAGTCACAGTACGAAGAATCTTGTGACATGGCTGAAGATGAGATAGAAATAACCAAGTTCTGTAGGAAGTCACAGCTCTGGTGTTTAACTGAAGGATTATGTGAGTTTGGTTAAGAAATCATAATAAACATGACTAAGAACGCAAGGCCACGATGGACCTTTGTATGAACCACACAGTGTATTGCATAAGAAGAGGTAAGAATCGAGAATCTACGACAGTGCTTAGCACGACAGCGACGGACTACGATCACAAATGAAGTATACTAGGTCCTCTTAATAACCAGACCCAAAAGTCCCACTCTCACAGACTCAGTACAATAAACCAAGGTTAGACACAAAATATCGACAGGTTGGGAATGAGATGGGTACTTGAGGATCTGTACAAGGCTTGGATAAGAACAATAAATTCCATACACGTGACTATAGCCTCCTGGTCCTAAGGTTGCAGGTTTTATGATCTTCCTCTCGGCTAGGATAAGCTATATTTACTCTATCATTAATCATGCACTCATTTGCAATCATACATTCGATTTCATGATGCGTTATTGGTAGATAAGGCGGCACTACGTCTAAATAAGCATGATGCTTCGTCTTTCGAACTTTGGCAGCCAAAGAGGCTCTTCATCGATGCTTCTACAAAAAACCTGTGCGATCCCGATTCTTTCAAACCTGCCACCAGTCCCCTCAGCACAGGTAACCAACAGCATGTTCCATTCATCATCGCGTCCTTGTTGTTTTTCAGCTCTCGCAAGTACCAACGCGTGCACAACGTCCGTGCCGGGATCCCTATCCAACAATGCGGCACCCAAATAAACTCCATCGGAATCTGAGATCTTCGAACTCCAGTCACCCGTCTTGTCCACCAAAATCGAATGATCGAACGGATGGGCTGAGCCCTGGAGAAATTCAATCTGCACCACACCCACCAGGCCGGTAATCTTCAAGAACCCTCCATTCACACGTCCAAACTCGTCGTTACTAGCAAGTTCAACGTGAAAATCGTTCAGATCGAAAAGTGCGGGTGGAAATCTTCTGTATACAGACATTGGCCAAAACAATGGCGTTTCATATGATGCCCAAGACCAAGAGGGAGGTCCATTGACTGTTGAACGAGGCATCATATTCACCACCCCCCAACACAAGCCGTATTGGAGTCCCTCTTTCCAGAGACCAGCAATGTACGTCATATTCATGCTGCCTTGGACAAGTTTGGCGAGACCTGAAATTGCGGGCAGCCGGTCGGATGAATGTGTCAGTTGTCGTGTTGAGTAGTGTATGTACAGTATTTCGTGATACCATTTGGAGATTCGATCGAACAGATCATAGTCGCCGATACCATAGGCAGCAAGCTCCCGACCAAGGCTGGGACCTGTGGCAATATCATCAGTGTTATCCGTGAAAAGTAGGATTCCTTCCTCTATACGGGCTGCCTGTCGACATTCCCAGTAGATCTGGTTATTCTTGTAATGGAGAACGCGAGTAGACAGTATTCTCTCTTGACAAGCCCATGCCCTTTGCGCTAATGCACCTTCAGCCATATCAGCTGCAAGATACATGGGAGCATGCGCGTCCTCATACAATAGTAACTCAGTAGGCGCCTCACGCCTCGTAATATTTCTCACCACCATCTTCCTCAAGGATGGAGAAATCTCGCTGCTGCTTTGGCGGTTGAAAAAACCATCATGCACACCTTGACTTTCGGTCGCGGCAATCGTGACAACAGCCTGACTGTATATGACGCCCATCTTTTGTGATTCTCGCTCCCAATCTTGCACAGAATCTTGAACGATACAAAGAGCATCTAGCCATAAGTAACGATACCCCAGATTTCGAGTTGCTGTGACTGCATGTTGAAATGTTCTTGGCAAGTCATTGTAGGATATGCGCGTCAACCGTGATAGTAGAGTATCCTGTTTTGTCACGTAGGACGGGTCATGACCCCAACAGTAGCTCAAGGCTACATATGTACAAACTTGATGCATTTCCACTAGCTTAATATCCTGAGACCGATGTTGAAAAGCTTCCACATCAATCATACGGGCTGGCCGGGCACCATCAAGGTACTGCGTAGTGAGTGTAGGAATAGCCTCAGAACACCGATTATGGACCCTTCTTCAAAGTCTTCAAGGGTTGCTAGTAGAGCAATATTCTTCCTTGGAGTAGAAATATCAAACTCTCAGATCAACGGCCACGTCCAAGCACTGGCAATTCGAGTCTCATCATCTAACGAAGCGTCCTTGACTTGCATTTATTCAGCCATGCTGCTAAGTCAGAGCAAGTTCAATATCGCAAAGTAGGGCCACCTTCGCTTCCTATATACTTTGAAGGGTAGCCGTACAAGAACTCCCCATACTCAAACCGGGGCAAATCCCCTGTTCTGCTATACCGGTGGACGGTGGCTATAGAATGAATGTGAGCAAATAGAAGCCAGATATCGGTGTTTTAATATACCCAGTCTTCAGCAAGCGGCCTACAAAGCCATTGGTGCAGGCAGATGTACATCCTTCATAAAGATCGGCGAAGGCAACTACAACAAGGCGTATCGTATCGCCTGGAGGTGCTACCGACCAAAACTCTGTTCGAGCGGAATACATGATCAGGGAAGAAGCAAAAGGCACCCAACTCCATGAAATCTGGAAAGATCTGACAAACATCTAGCGAGTGGAACCACTTCCACACCAACACCACCGCATGCCCGTACACTTTCTCAGCAGGGCAGATAAAGCAACACGACGAAGAAGCCGAGACATTCAGCAAAAGCCAAGACTTCTGGGGGGCACTAAAGGGCGTCTTGACTGGATAAGATAGAGGGTGGGGAACGATGCGGCTTTGAGGAAGAGACGCGTTGGATTGCGGAGCTTGATGGGCATGGAAAATAGCATTTGCATTCATCTTTGTAAGAATAGGTAGTGGTAAGAGCACCATCAGTGATCTGTGTGGCTTCAAGGTACAACGAGCGAATGAAGCTCGGATTTTACAGACATGGTCATGTCCATCTCTTCGAAGAAATTAAAACACAAGTAGATTAATCTTACTTACTTTATTCTAGTAGCAGCTCTGAGTCTAATTGCAGTTGTAAGCTACATGTTATGATTAATTCCTAGTAGAGGAGTCTTTCATGCACGAAGAATCGTGATTTAATTAGTTCCATGAACCTATTGTATAACTACTGCTCCTAATGATGTTCATACAGATGTTAGAAATCTATCTTTAGCAAGCGCATGGTCACGTGACGAACACCGAAATCTACACTACATAGTTCAAAGCAGCAAACTAGAGGTGCCGGATTAGTGGGCATTCGGAGCAGCCTACATGTGAGGGAAATTATTGCTTTGCAACCTTTCTGTAGACTTAGCATTGTATATATTTAACAAACTTATACACCAGCCTCCACGAACAGAGTTTTTGAACTGTCAATCACGGTCATGCCACTAATCAATGACAACAGAGTTGATCAATATGTTTTACATTCTTTCATATCTGGACATTGCTTCGTAGTCTATTACATACATCTGCACCGTTCGCCAACCTCATCACCAGGACCGTTGACTCCTTGTAACAATGCTTGCAGTTTTAGCGTATGCTCACCCGCAAACGCCTACCTCACTGAGAGGCCGAGCTTGATACCAATTACGGCTCGGATAAAGCGATTTAAGCCTTGCCAGCAGTGTAGAAGTCGTCAAGAGCGACCTTGATGCGCTGAGACATGCTCTTCTCACCCTCACGGACCCAGACACGGGGGTCGTAGTACTTCTTGTTGGGCTTGTCGTCACCGTCGGGGTTACCCTATCAGAAAGTTAGGTACTGTAAGTATAAAAATTATTCCAGATTCAACATACCACTTGGGTCTGGAGGTAACCGCTCTTGGACTGAATGTAGTCCCGGATACCGGAGAGGTAGGCCCATTGCATGTCAGTGTCGAGGTTGACCTTGACAACACCGTATGAGATGGCTTGGCGGAAGTCATCGACAGAGCTACCGCTACCGCCGTGGAAGACGAGGAAAACGGGCTTGTCCTCCTTGGAGTTGGTCTTCTCCTTGACGTAAGCCTGGTGCTTTTGGAGGAGCTCGGGGCGGACTAGGAACCACAATGTTAGCATGTCTTGGAAAATATGCCGGTTCACTGATACTCACGCTTGACGTTTCCGGGCTTGTAGACACCGTGGACGTTGCCAAAGCCGGCGGCGATAGAGAAGAGGGGAGAGACGGCGGACAGCTCCTTGTAGATGTCGTAGATGTCCTCGGGTTGAGTGTAGAGGGAGTTGTTGTCGACATCCTCGTTGTTGACACCGTCCTCCTCTCCTCCGGTGATACCGATTTCCATCTCAATCATCTGCTTCATTGGTGCAGCGCGTTCGAGGTACTTCTTGGTGGTGGCTGAAGGTGAATGTCAGCATATGTCCAATTAATGTTTTCTCTTCTCGTTCCTGTGTTTCGGTGATGTGCTTACCAATGTTCCACTCCTTGGGCTCCTCAGAGAGATCTGACGAAATGGTTAGCAGAGTGAATATGCCGGGACGCAGTTTCTTTTGTCTCACCAATCATGTGCGAGCTGAAGAGGGCCTCTCCGTGAGCCTTGAAGTAGGCCTCGTCGGCATCCATCATGCCGTCCAACCAGGGCAGGAGCTTCTTGGCGCAGTGATCTGTGTGGAGGACAACGGGGATACCGTATGCAGGGGCAATGGACCTGATGTAGTGGGCGGCAGCAATGCTACCAGCAATGCTGGCCTCCTGCTTGCCGTTGGCTACGCCCTTGCCTGCAAAGTATGCGGCACCTGTTCAATTATGGTGGTTAGTACATATCTCGTAAATGGTCTGTTTGGGCATTCTTACCTCCATTGCTCAGTTGCAGGATGATGGGAGACTTTGCGTCGCGGGCAGCCTCGAGGGCAGCGACAACTGTGGAGGAGGAAGTGACGTTGATGGCGGGGATGGCTGTGCAAAAGTCCGAGTTAGTGATGGTCGCCGGGGATTCAGCTTGTCGTGATGCATACCATAGCCCTCTGACTGAGCGTGCTTGAAAAGCGCGAGGATCTGGATAGTGTCAGTTTATTGCGCAGATTGACAGTTGAGTATCAAGGGTCGCATACGTCGTCGCCGACGATGACACCGGTCCTGTTCAATGTCAGTTTGCGCGTTCTAACGTGATCTGAGGGGTCAAGCGGGGTCGAGAGCAACATACTTGCGGGACAGGACTTCACTGGCTTGAACCATGGTTGCTGTTGTCTTGGAGATGTGCTGTTGTGGGTATGGGTATATGATGGGGTGGAGGGTCAATTGTAAGGTTGGAGATGGGGAAGAGAAGGTGTGATGAAGAGAAAGTTTGTGCAGGCGTGTCGAGCTTTGTATTGCCCAAGTAAAGTTCAAACGCGGTAGTGGGGTTGGCTGGCGGACCACAAAAAACACCCCCGCTAAGGACCGCAGTAGTGACGCAGCTGGTGTCGCCCAAGCCTTCACCCACCACCCAGCCCAGCCAGGGTCTGCGCAGAAGCATACATAGTTGCAACGCCACACAAATGTGCTTGATAGATAACGCTATGCAATTGTCGCCTTGATGCTACCAATTAGTTGCCCTTGAACCTACCTTTGCTTTTGTTCTTTTCGATGGACTGCCCACTGCCCCTCGCAACAGACCGCAAGTGGTGGTAGTGGTGGTGGTGGCACGTCTCCAACCATGTCCTTCACGGCCGCGCTCTGAAGTCATGGCGGGGCCGCGTCTGCTCGGCAGCGCGGAACTAATAAAAGTGGGCTGTCTCTTTTCTGCATCTCATGCCATGGCCATAGGTAGCTCAACGCAACATCATCGCACCCACAGGTGACAGGCTGCCCGACTCTCGCCGCAACACGCCAGTCGTCCCGTTCACCGGCCCCGCGCCAAACCACACAGTCGCCAGTCCGTCAGGGTCCCACCAATGATATCACCCTCGATTCACCGGAGTACATGCGACATATCGTGATTAGCATTGAGCTCTTGTCTGCTTCTGTTCCGATATGCGGAAATCTTAGTCACGTGTTCACTATAGTAGCCATGTCCTTTCTGCACCCGGACAAGCCCTCGTTTCCCGAGGTTCTGGGCCCTTCTTCGGCTTCATGCCAACAGCCTCGCAACGGCTTGCAAGCCCGCGACTGGCCGCTCATGCTTCCGAATCTTTCGCCCTGATCCGTATGTTCCGTACCAGCGTCCTCTCTGCGCCCGGCAACCGTATCTCGGCCTTGAATGTGCCCAATTGCTTCACCCGCGATGCATCGCCCTCCTCATGTCCTGATACAAACTTGACATCACTCTCGTTCAGAACAACTCGAGATGCTTCATCGTTGTGCGCCAGCGCGCTCTTGATAGTCGTTGCCAGATCCGCAGTGGATACAGATCCGTATATAGCGTTTGCCGATGCCTTCGCCTTGCTCATAGCAGCTGCTGTCAGAATGTCCGCTGCGCCCGATGCCCCTACCCGTTCTCGTTTTGGACTGTCTTGTTCGATAGGCTGGCGGTAAAAGTCAATCGTTGGTGGGACGAACATGTCGAGGAGCTCCATGGACCGCTCAGGCTATTCTTTTTGTTAGCAGGCCGGTTTGCAACCAAAGGCATCATGTAGCTTACACTGAGCACATCAATCTCAATTGGCCGCACAAAGTACTTGGGCTGCTGCATCGACTCGCTCTCTTCCTCATCGGCCTCCTCCAGATTCAGCCTTACACCAAATGTGACGTCGCGTGCCAAATCCACGTCCTGAGCCTTGAGCTGCTTCAACTGCGTAGCGGGAACATAATCGGCAATGCGTGCGGGAAACCAGCGATTGCGCATCAGCGAGGGGTTGAGGGGGACATAGGAGCCTTTGCAGTGTTAGCCAGTGCTGCAGTTTGTGGTTTCTAGGCGCATGCTTGACACTGCAACAATGGCTTTGCAGCAAAGACATGTCGAGCTCTTGCAAAGCGCACTCCATTCCATATATCGTACCTGCGCGGCCAAACCTTGGCACATCCTTGAGCAGCTTCACGACAATGTTGCGCTCGGCCTCTTTCGCCTTCTTCGAGATGCTGCGTATCTGCTGCGTCCCCCACGCTTCAGAATTTTGCAGTGTGGCCCTGCGTACACATGCGGTGCACTGGGGAAGAAGGGCCAAGCCCCTCATTGAAGCCATTGTGCGTGTTGTCTGGGAGTTTGTCCGGGTCCGAGAAATATGCAAGACGTCCGGACAATTCTGGCGATCTTCGCGGCGGAAGCGGAGGTGCAAATGGGCCGGTGCGACTTGCCGTACGTCGATGGGCTCGGCATACTTTTGCACCTGCCTCACGACCAAACACCAGGAGACGGCCAGCGCGATACCCAAAACTGGGCAGCAGCCAGACAATGGCGTCGGCCGCAGTCAGACTTACTCCACACAGTACTACGCAAACCTAGCACGACCACGCACCGTATTTGCAGCACCCGTGTGCAAGACCCTAACCTTGCCTCCGTCCAATCCCGCGGTAGCGGGAGTGCCAGGCTCCGCAAGATGCCTGAGAAGCCTCTCACAATCGCGACGTACGCCGCCGGCGCCTCTCTTGCCGCCATCACTCTGGTCTATGTTTTTGGACCAACGTATTTCCTCGACGATGATTCAAATGCGGCTAGCAGTAAGAAGAAGGGCGTAGTTGGGCTTACCAATGCAGCAAACGACTGCTTCATCAACTCGGTCCTACAGGCCCTCGCCGGCTTACCGGATTTACGCATCTATCTCATACGAGAAACCCACAGGCGGCTGCTCGACGGACCAGAAGTCTACGATGTGGACCCCGAGAGACAAGGCATAGCTAATGGGCCCGTAAAGCCTGCCAGGTTGGAGGGTCTGCAAAGGGGCATCCTGACCCATGGATTGAAAGATGTCCTAGACCGACTTAACGAACGGCCGATATACAAAAAGACCATCTCTCCGCAGCCCTTCATCAGAACGCTGGAGCGTGCATTCGGCACACGCATCAGCCGGCAACAACAAGACGCGCAAGAATTCCTCCAAATAGTAACGGAGCGTCTGTGCGATGAATACCATGCTGGAGGAAATGCAAGGCGACAGGCTACCCTAGATGCCGTCACCGTTGTGAATGGCGACAGTATTCCTGAAGGAAGCATCGTCGAAGCGCTGCCCAACGGGACGATTGCTCAAGCACCCGTTGACGACCAGGGCGAAAACGAGGCCGAAGGAGACGAAGTCTCTACAGATGAAGAAGGGTTCCCTTTTGAGGGCAAGATCGAGTCGCAAATTGAGTGTCAGGTTTGCCATTTCAAGCCGAAGCCTACAGTATCAACATTCGTCACTTTGACTCTGAATGTACCACAAGCCTCCTCGACCTCTCTCAACGCGTGCCTTGACGGCATGCTCAAGCTTGAGTACATAGATGATTTCAAGTGTGAGCGCTGTCGACTAGAACATGCGCTCAGGAGCAAAAATCATGAGCTTTCAACAGCAACTGACCCGGACATCAAAGAACGACTGGAATCAGACATTGCTAAGATTCGAAAAGCACTAGATGAAGATCCTGAGCAGACACCGGAGGGTGTTGAGTTACCTGCTTCAAGTCAAGCACCCAAACGTCGGATTTCCCGCCACATGTACATTTCACAGTTTCCCAAGGTTCTTGCGATACACCTATCACGTTCTACCTTTGCGATTGGTGCCACCTCAACGAAGAATCTTGCCAAGGTCGCCTTCCCGGAAGCTCTTCCATTAGGAGGACTGCTTCATCGCAAGAACTACCGCCTTCTTGCAGTTGTCACTCACAAGGGAAGCCACAACAGTGGCCACTACGAGTCGTTCCGCCGTCAAGTGCAGCCAATGCCCTTCTCCACGCCCGTGTCTTTTGGCACAGAAGGTGCATTCAGTCGTCAGGCCAGTCCGCACCCATCAGCAGCGCCATCCGCAGTGCCGTCTGCCATGCAAAGCCCACGCATCTCCACACTCAACCTGCCCAACCATATCGAACGCGGATCAGGAGTTTCCACTACATCGACACTCGACTCACCATCGTCACGATCGCTGTCGTCGCAAGAAAACATACCACCCTCACGAGGGCCAGCCCCAACATCTGCACCTCGACTATCAGAGTCAGACCCGTCGCATCTAGCATCCCCCACTGACGTCAGGAATAGTAGTGGAAGCGGGGATGAATCTTTGTCTCGGACAAGAAGTATACGATCACTGAGGGAACGGGCGTCAGAGAAGGCCTCTTCAATCGCAGATAACAATCTCCGGCGTCGCAAGCCGAAGAAGGCTAACAACCGGTGGTGGCGGATTAGCGATGACAAGATCAAGGAGAGTAAGACGTCGGAGGTTCTGAACATGCAGAAAGATGTGTATTTGTTATTTTACGAGCTGAATAATAGTTAGAATTTCGGCATGGGGCTTATCTCTGCGAGTGTTGTACGACAGTAAGGGATATTATACATCGGTGAGCACCACCTGTTGGATTAGCATTCTTCTCTCAATTAGACGGACACATGACTTCCCAATAAAAAAACCTGTAAATATTGTGCAATCGTGTACTGCACGCAAGCAGCCCGTAGCCAAGTGCTGTCTTTGAAGCGTGTGCCTAATCACCCTTGATCTCATTGGTCAACACCCCCACGTGGCCTAGATTCCCTCTCTTGCAACGAATTAGTAACTAGACTAACGTCCTGCAATGCAACCTACATACCTCACCTTTTCCCCTCACTTTGTTGTTGTTACGCTGCACGACTTGCATACAAAGGAACAAGTGGTTGTATGCGTTGTCCGCAACGCCACCCTTTGCAATTTACCCCTCGTTCTCTTGTTTTCCGTTGTGCAAGTCTTGCTGCCTTGGGATAAATCTTACTGCATTAGCGATTATTGTATTTCTCAACCTAGTGATTCTAGGTAGTAGGATTGGGGTATTTAAAGAGAGAACAAGGACGGCTGTGGAGCGTAACCTGTGGATCGTGTTAACTGCTCGTGTTTGAAAAAAAAAGGGGGGAATAGTGTTATAGACGACACTTCATAACCCTCCATTAAACAAAGGCGTCTCTCTCCACACCACAAGGCTAAACCTGCCATTCCAAGGTTCAAACTCAACCCTACTACCCCCCATCCCCCACCCCACCAAAATGCCGAGCCTCGAAGCAGACGACTCACCCTTCACGCACGCCAGCAACAAACTATCCCTCACCAAACCCCCGCGACTCCTCATCATCGGGGCCGGAAGCCGCGGCGCCGCCTACGCTGACGCCACATTACTGTGCTCCAACGCCATCATCGCCGCAGTATGCGAGCCCAACGACTTCAAGCGCGCCGAGTTTGGGCGGAGGTACATGTGGGGACCTGATGGCGAAGCCACTCCTTCGCAGAGTTTCAGAGATTGGAGGGAGTGGAAAGAGTATGAGATGCAGCGACGGGAGCGAGAGAGGAATGGTGAAGCGAATGTGAGTAAGGGGGTTGATGCGGTGTTTGTTTGCGTCTTAGATGAATTGCATGAAGAGGTTGTGTGTGGGATTGCGGATATGGGGTTGCATATTTGCTGTGAGAAGCCTATGAGTACGAGTTTGGAGAGTTGCGTTAAGATGTATCAGGCACTTTCCAAAGGTGCGAGAGAGGGGAGAGAAACGATTTTTGGGATTTGCCATGTGTTGAGGTATTCGCAGCATAATATGTTGCTGAGGCATTTGGTGCTGGATGAGGAGGTTATTGGGGATGTGGTGAGTGTGGAGCATGTTGAGCCGATTGGGTGGTGGCACTTTAGTCACAGTTATGTGAGGTATGGTGTCTATGGACTTTTTTTCACTGGCGTATGGCTAACACGAGGTAGGGGCAACTGGAGGAAAGAGTCCAAGACTGCGCCTTCCTTGCTTACAAAGTCATGTCACGATATTGACTTTTTGATGTGGATGCTGTGTTCCCCCGGTACCAAGGCAAAAGACGCGGTGCCTCATCTTCCTTCGTACGTCACTTCGACTGGATCACTCAAGTTCTTCCGCAAAGACCGGAAGCCAAAGGCTGCTGGATCAGCGACCAACTGTCTATCCTGTGCGCACGAGCCAAACTGCGACTGGAGTGCAAAGAAAATTTACCTCGAGGGGCATTTGAACAATGGCAATGCAGATTGGCCGGTCAAGGTTGTCAACCCGGAAATCGAAGACATGTTCAAGACGGCTGGGAAAGAGGTTGCTGGCAAGGCACTGCTCAAGAGCCTGGCCGAGGACTACACCGCTGATACTCCGGCCAGCAAAGTGGACGAACGGTCGTGGTTTGGTCGGTGTGTGTGGGAGTCGAGCAATGACGTATGCGACGACCAGTGCGTGACGATCACATGGGACGATGACCCGATAGCAAAGGATGAAGAGGGTCTGCCCATACTGCGTGGCCGCGGTGCAAAGACGGCGCAATTCCACATGGTAGCGTTCACGGAGAAGCAGTGCGAGCGACGTGGCCGCATATACGGCACCGAGGGCGAGATTGAGTATGACAGCAGAGAAATCAAGGTGTACAAGTTTGGCAGTGGACAGACAAAGGTGCACAACCCATATGTGGCAGGTGGTGGTCACGGGGGCGGAGACGAAGGACTTGCGCGGCAGTTTTTGCTGGCAGTTGACGCTGTGGATTCAGGCGCCATGGCCGCGGCAGACGCTCAGCGTCGATACCTCGGGTGCGACTTGAATGAGGCTTTCCGCAGCCATGCCATGGTTTTTGCGGCTGAAGAGGCCCGAACGAAGCGCCAGGTGGTGGAGTGGAAGAGGTGGTGGGCTGACCGGGTGGGGTCGCACTTGGACCAGCGGTAACGTGGGTGGCATGGGTTGATGGGTTTGCATGGGCTGCATGGAATGATGACAATTGATGCCAACGCTGGTCAGCATGGCGGGCGCGTACAGAGGGCAAAAGGGCATGAATGACATGGCATGAGGCTCTTGCAAAGCTTGGTTCACGGGGTTCATGGGCAGGCGAAATGAAGGCTGTGCAGTGTCGTGCCAATCCGGAGCCAGCGCTCCATGAAGCAGTCCTGACCCCAGAGACGTTTGACAGGTAGAGGCTCCGCTTTCAGGAAATTAACGGCCTTTTTGACAGTGGCGATCTGACTCGCTCGGGCTATATTTGGGGGGCTTTGGTCAAACCTAATACTTCCCGATTGGGCAGAGTGCGGGCGCTTAATGAACCATGTTCGGGATGCTGGACGGTGAGGCTCAAGGGAACGCACCACACAGCAAGGCTGCTGGCCCAGTTCTGCGTGAGTACCGACGGCTGAGCGTACGGGCGCTTGGGATTGGCGGATGCCGTGGTCGTGGAGCCTACCGGGGATGATGGTTTGGTCCGGTCGTAGTACCTGTACGCTGGGCGAACAGACTGCTGGCGCTGTGGATGCTCGTCGCTGTACTTTTGGTGTGCTCAGGCGGGCGTGGTGGCGACAGCGCAGCAAAGGTGGGCTTGGGCCGGGACCCCGAACGTGGTGCTTTGTCAACAACGCGGTCTTCCAAGTCTACGCGTTGACGTGTAGAGGGGCTTGAACGACGTGTTATAGTCGTGAATACACTTCTCTCCGCCCATTGTGAGTCACTCAGTCGTGCATGTGGCCGGCCTGCGGGAAGACGCATGCCGCGCTGCCGAAACGAAACGCTGGAGAGCTGACAGCCAATCAGCCCCGATACCCCATCGATGACTCTTCATCCCCCCCGGCTGCCCCCCCGGCTGCCTGCCCCACCCTTCGCGGGACCCAGCACGGGCCTTGCGGCAGGGCGCCAACCACACCTGCACTACAACCCTCCATTCGTCCCTTCGCGCCGCCCACCCACAAACTGCCGCCATGGGAGAAAACAAGAGAACGAGGGAAAAAAATGTGCTCCCTCACCGTACTACCGCTGCATCGCTACGCAGAGAACGGGGCCGAGAATCCCGGTTTCAAGTTGTCCAACCGCCCCCATGTGCAGGCGCCTCGCTGGCCTGCCTTACCGCTTCGGTCTGCTGCTTGGTACCGCTGGCCATTCACACACCGTCAAGCCTGCCCACCAGACCACTTCAAGCCTGCCAGGCCTCAAGAATAGCATTCCAGAAAGCCGTTCGCTAACTAGCCACGTACTCGCCCAGCCCATGCAACGGCTACGCTATGTTTCAGACGCCCTGTGAGGCTCGCATGTCGTAGACGGCTCCGCTCGTGCTACTGCCGCCAGACCGCCTCGCTCTCTTGTTGTATACCGGCCCAAGGTATCGGACCCCCTTCGATGCATCGTGTTTCAGGCTTGTTAGCGCGGTGAGAGCGTTGGTTCTCGTGTCTCTACGCGGGGAACACCAAGGATAAGAAGTCTGGCTGTGCCGCAATCCATCATGCCCATTCATTCATCTTGCGCTGCATTTCCATCAAGAGCACTGCCTCACCCCGAGTCAACCGTGTCTCGCCCTTGCTTTTCCTTTCTCTCTACCTTTGCATTGTTTGGTCTTAGACACTCGGAGCTGGTCTCTACTATTAATCCCTATTCCATAATCTCCTACCTGCCTCTTCTCCCAGTCTCCACAGCGTATGTTATTTTTTTTCTTCTTCCCTGGACCCCTTCTCACAGACCACGTGGGCTGCCGCTGACATAAACCAGTCTGGTAGCTCTCATCCACCCAACATGTACAGCCGTCAAACAACCCCCCCGAATGCTTCATTCAACTACATCCCCGGCAGTGTCGGCTCAGATATCACATACTACTCGCAAGCCTCATCACCAGAACCCCAGCTGGCTGTCCCCACTCCCCCACGGTCACCGGTAAGGCAATATGGTCCTGTTCTCCTCCCCAAGGTTCGCGTTCAGGACCAGGTATCTGAGCCCACCACTGGTCCCGTCAGACATCGCAGGACGACGTCTAACTCCAGTGCCGGCTATGCCTACAGCCCCTACTCACGTTCATCCTCCATGGCCCGCCGTGGATCAAGCCCTTTGAACCACAACATCCACAACATGCACAGCACACTCACATCCCCCGTGTCAACTGCCTCGTCATACGACTTCAACCTCTCCACTCTCAACTCCCCCATCACCTACCCACAGCAGCCTGAACTTCCTCGGCGGCCATCATACATGAGCTCGCACTCTCGCTCAGCCTCTGCCAACCGCGCCCGCCACGATCGCTCTGGCTCTGCCGGAAGTGTCGACGAGCAAGTCATCAGCCGCTATGGCTTCCCCACCTACCGCAACATGCCTAGCTATGTTACTGCCTCGGCTGCGCCTCAGTCCAACTTGGGTGTTGCGACGGCTTTCCCCTCCACATACTCCTCCGCCCAGGACATGTCCAACTTCACTGCGTCTTGCATCCAGGAGTTTTCTGTCCCAGAGTTCGACACTGCCCCAGCTGTTCAGTACCCAGCTTTTGGAGACTTCGCCTTCGATGGCTTCCAGCAGATGCAAGCCACATCCTCTTTGGTAGAGTACCTCGCTTCTCCCAATCCATCTCCATCTCTGGTCCGCCGCGTCACTAGCGCACCCCGAGGCATCAACAACCACTTCTGGTGGGACATCCGCAACCTTCGCAGCTGGGAAGACTTCAACATCACCACCATCAAGTCCATCCCTTCGGTGCTTCCTCTCCTTGAGGTCCCCGTCCCAGCGACCTACCTTCCCCAGCCCTGCCGCCAGAACCTGCAGCCCGAGAACGAGTCGGCTCTTCAAGATATCTGCACCAACTACTACGCCAACAAGGTCAATGCAGCTCTCAAGGTCACTCAAGGAAACAGCCACATGATCATGCGCGCCATCAAGCCAGTAGCCGGCCAACGTCAACAACCAGAGTTCATCTCCAACTACCCCTCCGACTACGAGAAGACGCTCTTTGGCGACAGCCGTGGCCGCGTCGTTGGTCTTGTCAAATGCTACGACCAATGGAACACTGGCATGCGCAGCGAGTCACCCCCCAAGCAAGTCCTCTACCTCCAGGGCCTCGCTCACCTCCAACGCGTCATGCGCGAGCACGGCTGCCGCTACGGCTTCATCATGACCGAAATTGAGCTTCTTTGTGTCCGCTGCGGTGGTCCCTCCGACATGTCCACCCCTGACCCCACCACCGTCAATGCCCAAACCGGCGTGCCCATCTTCGGCTACCTCGAGACCTCAGCCCCCATCAGCCTGTCAACCAATGGCTCTCACCCAGAAACCGGTGACATGCAGCTTACTGCCGCGCTCGCCCTCTGGTACCTCCACATGCTTGCCAAGGAGAACCCCTTCGAGGGCATGGGAACCTGGCGCATGGACGTTGGCGGCCCTGCTGCTCTCACCCGCCAAAACTTCCTCGAGAAGGACTCTTGGATCCCCAAGCCCCAGCTTGGCGAGAAGCGAGAGGCTAAGCGCATCAGAGGTTGGGTATTCCCTGATGAGCCGCTTAGCAAGAGGGAGTGCGGCAAGGGCAAGAGGGGCAAGAGCATTGGATAGATGCGGGGCTTACGAGCTGCTAATGAGGATATGAGGATATGACTGGGACATGATACCATGTGGATGAAACAACAAAATACATATATACTAGTGTGATACCGCTGGTCGGTATCGAATTTCGCCTATTACTTGTTTACCCTTTTTTTGCGACAAGAGGCATTGAGCGGCGTTTTCCTTTTCTTTCTTCTATTCTGACTCAAGCTTTTTGATTTGAGTAGCATCTCATAGGGATTCGGCATAGCATTTACAAGGCGCGTGGGATATCCAGTTTTCATTTTTTTTCGTTACATATTACAGACTAGTTTATAAGTAAAATTCATTAACGTATTCTATCACCGAGCGTGCCACATCACCGAGTGTGCCACTTTTTCTTGGCATCGCGAACTTCACGTACGAAAGGCAATGCCTCAACAACAGAACGCGATACTAATCCAGCAAGAAGGCCGAATTACTCTTGCGCTTCAAGCCT